TGCTTGAAACACTGGAAAGCCACATGCCAAAGAATGAAACTACAGTTTGTCTGCATATACAAAAATTAATTCAAAGTAGATCAAAGACCTAAATATAACATCTGAAACAATAAGTTACATAGAAGACATAGTTACTAAACTCATGGACCTCAATCTCAGAAAAGTTTTTATGAACTTGACCCCGAAGGCAAGGGAAGTAAAGGCAAAAATAAATGAATGAGACTATACCAAACTCAAAAGCTTCTGTACAGCAAAAGAAACTACAACCAATACAAAAAATGCAGCCAACCGAATGAAGGATGGTATCTGCAAACAACAGCTATCAAACAAGAGTTTAATAACCAAAATATATCAAAAAACCTCACACAACTCAACATTAAAAAACCCCAAATAATATAAGTATTATATTATTAAAATAATATTATTTGTTATAATTATATAATAATGTAATTATAATATAATTATTATTATACCCTTAAAAATAAGCAGAGGACCCGAAGAGACACTTCTCCCAAAAAGACATACAAATGGGCAACAGATATATGAAAAGATGCTCAACTTAACAAATTATTAGGGAAATGCAAATTAACACTACAATGAGATACCACCTCACACCTGTTAAAATGGCTATTATCAACAAGACAAACAGCAAGTGTTGGAGAGGCTGTGGAGAAAAAGGAACTCACACACTGCTGGTGGGAATGTAAAATGGTACAGCTGCTGTTGAAAACAGTATGGAGGCGCCTCAAAAAATTAAGAACAGTATTACCATATGACCCACAATCCCTCTTCTGAGTATCTACCCAAAAAACTCGAAAACTTTTATTCACAAAGATATATGTACCTGTATGTTCATTGTAGCAGTATTCATAGTGACCAAGATGTGGAAACAACAGAAGAGTCCTTGGCTAGATGACTGGATACAGAAGATGTGGTCTATATACACAATGAACTACTACCCAACCATAAGAAAAGATGAAATACTAGTATTTACAACATGGGTCCAAGATGAGAATATTCTTGCTAAGCTAAGTAAGTCAGAAAAAAGCTAAAAACCAAGGCAGGATATAGAACTGAAATTCATAGATAGACAAAAATAGTATATGATTACCAGAAGAAAAGGGTGGGGATAGAGGTGGTAAAGGGAGCCAAATACATGGTGACAGAAGATGATTTCACTTTGGGTGGTGGGCACACAATGCAATATACTGATTATGTATCATAGAAAATTTACACTTGATACTTACATAATCCTATTAACCAAATATCACCCTAATAAATTTAATTTTTTTAAAAATGAATCCTTAAAGCTAAGCTAAACTGCCTCCTAAGACTCTAAAGAAAAAAAATTTTTGAAGAAGTTCTAAGTCTAAGCTCCAGACTTTCAGACTCAGTCCAACAATTGGAAAGCACAAAAAGGAGAGGCCAAAAAAGACTAAAAAAGAGCTAAGCAGAAAATCAAAAAAGTTCCATGTCCTGGAAAACAAATGAGTAAAGTACATCATCAAAGAGCACTGTTAAGAGATCAACAAAGGAATAGATTAGAATTTGACCACTGGACTTGGCAAGATGGACATCATTAGGGACTTTGAAATAAAAGCTTCACAGGATGAGTTACTTTATAATTCAAGTGTTGAAATTTGGCAAGAAATGTGACATCCAAAATGAGATCCACTTATTCAATAAATGCTCACTTAAAGTTTATTAGTGTCAGACACACTACATGCTGGGAATATCATACTGAACAAACCAAACAAAAAACCCCTGTCCTCATGGAGCTCACATTGTATTCACATGTTTGGCCATTTCTTCAATGGCCAAAACTATTGCCATTTGCTTCTTTATCTGAAATGTTGTATTACATAAATCAGTTCATGAATTTCTGATTAACCATTTCAGCTTATGAATAAAGTGGAAGATAACTTTGAAAAAATACAAATGTATACTAACGTTAAATGGCAAATAACGGCAAATAATTATATCATGTGATTTAGGTGATTCAGTAGGAGCTCTTTGATATCACTGAAATACTCACTGATGGACAAAGAAAAAAGGACTAGTGATAAATGTATTCTACATACTATATTCTACATGGTCTCCTAGTAAAAAATTTAACATGGTAGTCTACTGGACTTTGTCCAAGGATTATTTACTGGGAGTCTCTGACAGGTCTTAGATAACCATTCATGATATTTTCATACATGGGTCATGAAGAGAGAACTGATCCAAGTACCCAAACCTGCCTAACTTTAAAAAGTAAACTTTTCCTGGTCCCCGGGGGTCTTGCCCCCCCGCCTGAAAAAAAAAAAAAAAAGTAAACTTTTCTGGAGCAAAACAATGCTCCTACACTCAAGAAACTTACTATCTAGCAGGCTCAAGTGACATATTCTCAATTCAACAAATATTTATTAAGCATCTGTTATGTAGCAACCAACACAATAATTAAGGAGCATAACACAGGATATAACTACCTTTAGTGCTAAATAATTTGTTAATGACAAAAGGTGTTCCAGTTTTGAAAAGAGTGGCGATTATGGTGATCTAGAGCAATGGTTTTCAACTGAGAACTGTTCTGTAGGCCTAGGGGACATTTAGCAATTTTTTAGAAACCTTTAAATGACTGGGGGTGGGGTGATGCCATTGGCATCTAGTGGGTATATATCAGGGATGCTGCTAAATACCTTCCATTGGACAGCTCAGACCACCCCCACCCCTGGCAACAAAGACATTTACTTGGTCCATACTGTCAATAGTGTTGCTACTGAATAACTCTAGACTATAGTAATCAGGAAATGATTCAGGCATAATGAGTTGGATTCTGAGTTGGCCTTTAGTCATGAGGACATGTAAAAAGGTAGAAGAAATAATAGAAGCAAACATACAAAGGCAAGAAGGAGCCTGCTTTAAACTGCATGTTGTACGTACTGAGAAAGGGTTTGACATTAAGAAATTTATTTGAACTCAATGGAAATATGCATTGAAAATGTCAGAATACAAAGGTGATGGGTAGTTGGAAGCCAGACTATATAAAAACTAGATTAAGGTACTGGGACCAAAGAAGCATGTATTAAAAAATTATTTTAGGCACTGGCTGGTGTGGTTCAGTGGACTGAGTGCTGGCCTGTGAACTAAAGGGTACCCGGTTCGATTCCCAGTTGGAGCACAGGCCTGGGTTGCAGGCCAGGTTGGTAAGGGGCATGTGAGAGATAACCACACACTGATGTTTCTTTCCCTCTCTTTCTCCCTTCCCTCCCCTTTCTTAAAATAAATAAATAAAATAAAAGCATGTGTATGTTTTAAAAAATTGTTTTAATTTAAACATTTGCCCTGAATTAATGTAATAAGTTGCAAAACTCCTTAAGAGCAGCAACCATGTCTTATTAGTAACTCTATTTTTGATGTCACTGCCCTGTAAATAGTGTATGCTAAGAGCTTATTAAATTAAATGCAGTTTTTCAGTTAAGTATTTACAAGTATTATTGCTGATCTCTAAATTTCCATCTATTGTGAGTAATCAGGACATTCATTTAAACAAATAAACAAAAAAGCTATCATTTTTCTACTATATAATGGCACTGTAGTAGGCCCTCTACACAGATTATTTAATTTAATCAAAAACAGAATGTGTTTTTTACTCATTAAAGATGAGGCCACTGGGACTCAAAGAGCTTAAACAATTTGTCCTTGATTTCACTCAGCTAAAAAGTGGCAGATATAAGCCTGAATCCTTTTCTAGTCTTAATTCAAATCTGCAAGCTTCAGTGACACACTGTGAGGAAGGATTAAAAAAGCAAAATCAGCCCTGGCTGTTGTGGCTCAGTGGATAGAGAGCCGGCCTGCAAACCAGAGGGTTGCTGGTTCCATTCCCAGTCAGGGCACATGCCTGGGTTGCCAGCTGGGTCCCTGTAGGGGGCATGTGGGAGGCAACCACACATTGATGTTTCTCTCTCTCCCTCTCTTTCCCTCTGTCTAAAAGTAAACAAATAAAAATCTTAAAAAAAAAAAAAAAGCAAAACCTGACAGCTACTATTCACAGTTAACATGTACAAGCAAAAAATAACATATATATATATATATAATTCTAAAACTGTCCTTATATTTCTTTACTACAGTAGTTAGTAAATATTGCCTTAAGGAATTGGACATGACATTTGGCTTGCTTTCCATTCCACACCTGTGAGCCAAAGTAGTTCCTTAACTGCATTCAAATCAACCCTAAATTCTCTTCCCAGAAACTCAAAGTCCTGGTAGTTATCACCCTTAAGCCAGGAAAAAAAAAAAAAACTAACCTGTTGAATTAGTCTGATCGGTACCTACTACCAATGCTTCAAAGAAAAAGGAAAAACGCATTTCAAATTCAAAAAAAATTAGCATTGCAGATTCAAGGTCCTCGTCCACGCTTCTTAAAGTACAGAGTCCTACCCTAAGGCAGCCCAGTGGCTCGGGTCCTCTATTCGGTTTCAGCGTTTGCCAAGTATTCCATTTTCAGCTCTCCCAACGTTTTGAAGAGTCTACCTTAAACAGAAGCTTTCTCCTCCCGTTAGAGTTACAAAGTAGATTTTAAAATCCTTTAAGGAATCTAACCTAAAACATTCTCCTAGTTCCAGATACTTAACATCTGCCCAGGGAAACACTTTATTATAAGGCTTACAATCCTACCCTAGTCGAGCTGCTCCTCAGCCCTCGGCTCTGCTCTTCCAGAAGCACTGTCCCAGCACCAGGTGCTACACCAGCTGTTCCTCTGACGCTCCCTACAGCCACCCTTTAGGCAGTTCCTCCCAAACCCACGGTTCCAGCTCAAAGCCCATTTCGCAGTCTGAATCCCATTTCTTTCAAAGAGGATGCTCCAAGCGTGCAACCTCCTCCAGACTTCTAAGGCTGGAGTCTCAGCGAAAGGAAAGAGTTCGTCCCCGGCCCGCAAGTCCAGAAGGTACGCAGAGAGCCGGCAAAGCGGACTGGCAGTCGGGGGCGGGTGCACAAGGAGAGGCAGAAGCACTTACCAACATCTTGATCAAAAGGATTGGTGGCAAAGAGAGGCATCTCCGCGGCGTGCCGAGGTGTCTGTAGGGACTCCCCGGGGACACCACGGGAGTCAGGGTGCGACGGAGGAAGGATGACTCCTCAGGCAAAAACAACAACAGATAAGTACTCGATGGGGTCCACGACAGGTTCTCGCCTCACCAAACCACAGCAACCGCGGCAGCGGCAGCAGCCACAGCAAAGGAGTCGAGAAGGCCCCCTGCGTGGAGCCTGTCGGGAATCTGGGCAACCTCAGCACTGCCTGATCAGAATCTGCCCAGAAACTGCCCCACGAAAACAGACCCCACCAAAAAAACTCCACCTCCATACTCCTTATTGGATTAGTCACACAGGAGAGTAGCAGGAATGCCTCTGTTTTCTGCTTTTGCCTTAGCCAGCAGTCTCCGGAGGATGGGGACCTGAAGGCGCGCCGAAGCCGACTACCAATCCCAGGAGTGAATCAGTGGACTAAGAGAAAGGGTCGCGTTTGTTGTTGAGTGGGACCCCTTTTCCCCCCGTCTCTGTCGGATGTCATACATTTGTAGTCCCTGTCCCTATGGAGGGGGATGGGACATCCGTCATTCGGAGTTATCCAGGTTAAAAAAAAAAAAGGCTATGAGTAATATGCTGTCTAAGGTGACAAGAAACTTGCTTGGATGAAGTCATGTGAGCTGAACCGATTGGCTCGAATCCCGGAGGAGGGGAGTGTCAGGGCGCGCTCCCAGGGAGCAAGCTGGAGTAACGCTGGCATCTCCAGAGTCTGTCTGAATGCTGGGCTTCAGAATCTGGAAAGCTTTCCTAGTTGGGCGTTGGTTACTAGTGACTAGCTGTACAATCACCAAGCAATTGTGTTGGTTGGAAAGTAAGTTTCAAAACCCAAGCAATTCCCCCCAAATTGAACAGCAACAACAACAAAAAAAGAAAACTGAGAAATGGAGCTAGAAATTGATTAGTGATTTCTAACCACTTAAAATGTTTTTGTTTTTTTAATTAGTTAATTAATTTTTTATTGATTATGCCATTACAGTTGTTCTATTCCCCCCTTCATTCCCCTCCACCCTACCTCCCTGTCCCCATTACCCCCCCTTTAGTTTATGACTATGCGTCTCAAGTCCTTTAGATTCTATATTTCCCATACTATTCTTGCCCCCACATCTATTTTCTACCTACCATCTATGCTACTTATTTTCTGTACCTTCTCCCCCCTTCTCTTCCTCCCACTCCCCTGTTGCTAAGCCTCCATGGGATCTTCATTTCTGTGGTTCTGCTCCTGATCTAGCTGTCCTTTTAGTTTGCTTTGGTTTTAGGTGTGCTTCTTAATAACTGTGAGTTTGTTGTCTTTTCACTGTTCATATTTTTTGTCTTCTTTTTCTTAGGTAAGTCCCTTTAACATTTCATATAATAAAGGCTTGGTGATGATGAACTCCTTGATTTGATCTTATCTGAGAAGCACTTTATCTGTCCTTCCATTCTAAATGAAAGTTTTGCTGGTTAGAGCAATCTTGGTTGTAGGTCTCTAGATTTCATGACTTGGAATACCTCTTTCCAGCCCCTCCTTGCCTGTAAGATCTCTTTTGAGAAATCCGCTGACAGTCTGATGGGAACTCCTTTGTAGGTGACTGTCCCCTTAGCTCTTGCTGCTTCTAGGATTCTCTCCTTCATTTTAATCTTGGCTAATGTAATGATGATGTGCCTTGGTGTGTTTCTTCTTGAGTCCAACTTCTTTGTGACTCTCTGAGCTTCCTGGATTTTCTGGAAGTCTATTTCTTTTGCCAGATTGGGGAAATTCTGCTTTATTATTTGTTCAAATAAGTTTTCCACTGGTGGCTGTGCCTTTCCCCCTTCTGGTACCCCTATAATTAGAATGTTGGAGCGTTTAAAGATGTCCTGGAGGTTCCTAAGACTCTCCTCATTTTTTTGAACTCTTGCTTCTTCACTCTTTTCTGTTTGGCCATTATTTGCTTTCTTCTGGTCCACTCCATTGATTTGAGTCCCAATTTCCTTTTCATCGCTATTGGTTTCCTATGCAATTCCATTCATTTCAATTAGTTTTGCCTTCATATGTATCTCTAATTTGTGGCTATAATCAACCAGTTCTGTGAGGATCCTGATCACCAGTGTTTTAAATTGTGCGTCTGAGAGTTTTGCTATTTCTTCATCTCTTAGATTTATAGGCTCTGGGGCTTTGAGAACTTCTTGAGCCATTTTTGGTCTGTTCGTACCCTTTATTTTTAATTTTTTAAAATTAACTAATTTTATCTAGTTATTTTTCAAGTACAGTTTTTTGTCTATTTTTCCCATACCAGCCTCCTCCACCCCTTGCTCCTCACCCCCCTCCCATTTCCACCCCCCTTAGTTCTCGTCCCTGTGTCCTTCCTATTTGTTCCTCCAAATCCCTCCCCCTTTTCTCCCTTAACTTCCCTTCCTTCTCCCCTCTGGTCACTGTCCCCTTGTTCTCTATTTCAGTGCCTTTGTTTTTTTTTTTTTCTGCTTGCTTGTTTGTTTTGTTGTTTAGCTTCCTGTTAAAGGTGAGATCATATGGTATTTGTCTTTCAGCACCTGGCCTATTTCACTCAGCATAATGCTTTCCAGTTCCATCCATGTTGTTGCAAAAGGTAGTAGCTCCTTCTTTCTCTCTGCAGCATAGAATTCCATTGTGTATATGTACCACAATTTTTTGATCCATTCATTTCCTGATGGACACCTAGGTTGCTTCCAACTCTTGGCTATTGTAAATTGTGCTGCTATGAACATTGTGATGCATAGGTTCTTTGATATTGATGTTTTAGGATTCTTAGGATATAATCCCAGCAGTGGAATTGCTGGGTCAAAAGGCAGGTCGATTTTTATTTTTCTGAGAAAATTCCATACTGTTTTCCATAATGATTGTACCAGTCTGCAATCCCACCAACAGTGGACTAAGGACCCCTTTTCCCCACACCCTCTCCAACATTTGTTGTTTGTTGCTTTGTTTATGATAGCCATCCTAACTGGTGTAAAGTGGTATCTCATTGTGGTTTTAATATGCATCTCTCTGATAGCTAACGATATTGAGCATCTCTTCATGTGTCTCTGGATGTTCTGTATGTACTCCTTGGAGAAGTGCCTATTCAAGTCCTTTTCCCATTTTTTAATTGGGTTGGGTGTCTTCTTAGAGTGGAGTCGTGTAAGTTCTTTGTATATTTTGGAGATTAAACCTTTGTCTGAGGTATCATTGGCAAATATGTTTTCCCATACAGTTGGTTGTCTTGCTAATTTAATACTGTTTTCTTTAGCCACGCAGAAGCTTTTTATTTTGATGAGATCCCATTTGTTTATTCTTTCCTTTACATTCCTTGCTCTAGGGGACATATCAGTAAAAAAGTTGCTGCGTGAAATATCTGAGATTCTCTTGCCGATGTTCTCCTCTAGGACTTTGATGGTGTCACGACTTACATTTAAGTCTTTTATCCACCTTGAATTTATTTCGGTGTATGGTGTAAGTTGGTGCTCAAGTTTCATTTTTTTGCATGTAGCTGTCCAGTTCTCCCAACACCATTTGCTGAAGAGGCTATCTTTACTCCATTTTATGTTACTGCCCCCTTTGTGGAATATTAATTGACTGTAGAGAGTTGGGTTGATTTCTGGGCTCTCTGTTCTGTTCCATTGGTCTATGTGCCTGTTTTTATGCCAGTGCCAAGCTGTTTTGATTACAGTGGCCTTGTAATACAGTTCGATATCTGGTATTGTGATCCCTCCTACTTTGTTCTTCTTTCTCAAAAGACCAGCTGCTATTCAGGCTCATTTGTGGTTCCATATAAATTTTCGAAGTGTTTGTTCTATGTCTGTGAAATATGCCATTGGTGCTTTAATAGGTATTGCATTGAATGTGTATATTGCTTTGGGTAGTATGGACATTTTGATGATGTTAAATCTTCCAATCCATGAACAAGGTATATGTTTCCATTTGTTTGTGTCTTCCCTGATTTCTTTCTTCAGTGCTGTGTAGTTTTCTGCATACAGGTCTTTTACCTCCTTGGTTAGGTTTATTCCCAGATATTTTATTTTTCTTTTTGCTATATCGAATGGGATTTTTTCCTTGATTCCTGCTTCTGCTGATTCACTGTTGGTATACAAAAATGCCTTTGATTTCTGGATATTGACTTTGTAACCAGCTGTTTTGCCAAATTCATTAATTAGTTTGAGCAGTTTTTGGGTAGAGTCTATAGGATTTTCCATGTACACTATCATGTCATCTGCAAACAGTGACAGTTTTGTTTCCTCCTTTCCTATTTGGATGCCTGTTATTTCCTTTTCTTGCCTGATCGCTGTGGCTAAAACTTCCAATACTATATTGAATAGAAGTGGTGAAAGTGGACAACCTTGTCTTGTTCCTGATCTTAGTGGAAAAGCTTTTAGTTTTTCCCATTGAGTATGATATTGGCTGTAGGTCTCTCATATATGGCCTTTATTATTTTGAGAAATGCTCCCTGTATTCCCACTTTGCTGAGTGTTTTTATCATAAATGGGTGTTGTACTTTATTGAAAGCTTTTTCCGCATCTATTGATATGATCATGTGGTTTTTGTCTTTGCTTTTGTTTATGTGATGTATTACATTTACTGATTTGCGAATATTGAACCATCCTTGCATCCCTGGGATAAATCCCACTTGGTCATGGTGTATGATCTTTTTGATATATTGTTGGATGCGATTTGCCAATATTTTGTTGAGGATTTTAGCATCTATGTTCATCAGCGATATTGGCCTGAAGTTTTCTTTCTTTGTTATGTCTCTATCTGGTTTTGGAATTAAGATGATGCTTGCTTCATAAAAAGAATTTGGGAGTTTCCCATCCTTCTGGATTTTTTGGTATAGTCTGTGGAGAATAAGGGTTAGCTCTTCCTTAAATGCTTTGTAGAATTTCCTGTGAAACCATCTGGTCCAGGGCTTTTGTGTGATGGGAGTTTTTTGATTACTGCTTCAATTTCTTTTGCTGTTATTGGTGTATTTAGATTTTCTGCTTCTTTTTCACTGAGTTTTGGAAGATTGTATTTTTCTAGAAATGTGTCCATTTCCCCTAGGTTTTCAACTTTCTTGGCATACAGTTCTTCATAGTAATTTCTTACAATCCCTTCTATTTCTGTGGTATCAGTTGTAATCTCTCTTCTTTCATTTCTGATTGTGTTTATTTGTGTCCTCTCTCTTCTTTTCTTGATGAGCCTACTTAAAGGCTTGTCTATTTTGTTTA